CGGAATGAAGAAACCCTACTGAAGATGCCACATTTAAAGAAAGCTATAAGAGGCAAGTCTGCAAAATAGCCTGATATAGAGAGGAAATTCAAGAGGAAAACCGAAGAACAGAGAACAATCGGAATTTCTGCATCCCCCTCTCTCAAAAATATTCAACACGAGGCAAAACGAATTTCTACTGAAAATGAAATTTCTAATTCGCAGTTGGTGCTTCAGGCTCATGAAGCAAAATGCACTAGCATGCGGTCACACACGAGAATTGACCAAAAGATATCACAAAGCTGTTGGTAGAAATTCATTTAATTGGGTAGTTTTGTCATTCAGCGTCAGAAAACACATCAGTCTGAGTTGGGACTAATTGCAAATATGAATGAAATCCCATTTCAGTTTGATTTCCGGAACTGTTGATAAAAAGGTGGGAAAGACTGCAACTGTAAAAGAAGTAGAGATGAAATGAATCATTTTAGAGTTGTTCTAGCTCGTTATGCTAATGGAAACAAGCTGCTACCCATGTTGATTTTCAAACGCAAAACAAAGCTAAAAGAGGTCATTTCTTGAGGAGTGATTTTCATGTTCAAAGGGTAGATGAATCAGGATAGAATGAAGATATAGTATGAGAAAGTTTTGGAGCCGAAGACCAGCTGCCTTGACATCCAGCTCCAACCTCTAGACATTCACATTAATAAACCCTTCAAAGTTGCCATGAGAGAGGAATGCAACGAATGGATGATGTTCTTTGGACAATTCTTCGATACCAATAGAAAGAGTGAAGAAGCCAACTATAAGAGCAGTTTGTATTTGGATGAAAAAAATCTTGGGATAATATAAAGATTGAAATTATTGTCAAGTCATTTAACAATGTGGTATCTCAAATTCTATAAATGGAACTGCGGATGAGGCAACATATTAAAACAATGATTCGTCATTAGGCGCAGATAAGGTCAGATAATGGATGGGAGCTCTGATTACGAGTTTTATACTAAATTAATACTGATTTCAGTAATTTAATGCTAATAATTCAGTAATTTAATGCTTAATGTTTTCATATTAAATTGAAATTCAGCAGGCTAATATTATCCAGTCCACCAATCAAATAATTCTTTATTTTCTTCTACGTTCGAGTCCCAAAATCAAGGTGAATCTTATACATGAGAAAAAACTGTAATCATTCTTGTATACCTTTTAGAAAATGGTTTTTGTACGGAAGATGAATTTTAGTATATCTTGTTTAATTTTACCCAAATTGAGAAACCTGTAATATAGAGTTATTCATAATTTCAAATTCAAAATTCATGAAAAATGAACTAAGCAATCATTGACAGATTTTTTTTGTACTCAAAATGTTAAATGAACTAATTTAATTTTATCTACTTCACAAATACTTAGTGTCGCGACATTTGCTGGTACGACAGACATCTGCGACGTCGGAAGGATCTAGATCCATATATAGAAAAGTTGGCTAATATCAGAATTTTATGAAGAAAATGCTGATTTCTTCTTTTAAAAATATAATTGTCCTATTTATTGCCACCCAGACGTGCAAGAGTATCTCTGTCTATAAATAGCTGAGTGAGTAAGACCTCAGTATAAAGCAGCGCGACTTGAATTCACATTGTAGCAAACAGAGGGCTGTAGGCATTTCCTTATTTTTTTTTCATGTATAATATGTATGTTTCATGTATGTAAAAATAGACAGGACGAAAAGGACAGAAAGATAAGTCTTTAATACGGTGATCACTACGAATTCAAGATTTAACCACTTGTTGGATTTTTATGTAAGGAGCTATTAAAGAACACTGTCTTTATGCTTTTCCGCTCACTAATCTTCATAAGCATATTACTGTTGAAGTGATTCTTGTAGATCGTGATAGAAAAATATTCCTTTAGCTTAATTTTATCTTGCTGGATGCCGTAATTAATCAGATTAAATTAACGATAAATTAAAAATTTTGTACAGAATTTATTACATTAATATTACTGACCGTTAAAGAATGTTGCGTTGTGTGAGCAATAAAGCTATAAATTAATGACGAATTAGATAAATTTGGTTACTTACTCAGGCTGTTGTAACACCGTTGAAGAAACATAACTCATCCACATGCGAAGATATTTATTAGAGTTGACTAAAGATGGTAAGGTAAATATACGTTTTAAATTAAATAAAAATACTTGGTTACAACTGTCAATCATTTAAATACAAGGAGGAATTCACAGAGTTCATCTTATCCACCTACAATTAAGTCGGATTAGAAGAGCCATTGCAATAACATTGCCTATGACAATAGCACCATTCGGCCAGCTGTGATCTCTAACATTAAAGTTGTGCCCTGCTCTTGTTGATTATTTTTAGAAAAAGTTAAAAAGGAATATAATTTGAATTATTGTAAAATAATCATTCTTAAGAAAACGAATCAAGATTTTAGTTGGATCACTCACATGGTCACCAAAGAATATCAGTAGATGCTAGTGTATGTCCAGTATTTATCATGAATACAAAGCTTTTTCTCTTCATAATGGCTGAAAGACGTGAATTTCTCCTTGCAGTACGAAAATGTTAGTGATAATAATAATCAAGGCTAAAATGCGAGGCTTGTCCTCACATCTTACGTAAAAAAAGCAAATGTGCATATATTAAGTTAATTTATTTGACTGAAGTTCAAAACATTGTAGAGACAATCATTATTTCGAAACAGGAGAGATGAAAAATGAGCAGGGTCTTCGCCGATACTCGAACCACGGATCTCTAGAACACACGTCGAGTGTGCTGACCACGAAGGCATGCTAAGAAAGCGGGAGAAATACCTTATATCCTCTCCCTTTTAAAGGGCGATTGGGGAATAGGGGACCCGTCGCCAAATCCTGGTGGTGGAGAATCATAATCTACCACTTGTTTTTAGTTCGGGCGCCACTGTAAAGACATTAAGTTTTTTTTTTTTTTTTTAGGAGAAATGAGAAATGAACAATGCCTCCGCTGGGACTCGAACCACGGGTCTCTCGAATACGTGCCGAGTGTACTGAACACTACACCACAATGTTATGCTAAGAAGGATGGAGAAATACATTATAGCCTTCTAATCTCGTCTAGTTTCAGCTCTTTGTCGCGGAAAGGGTTGATTGTTTGGGAAACAGATAAAAGCAGGTGGTAACCTGTTTACTTTAAAAAGACCTCCTCAAAAACGAATCTTTGTTTAAGAAAATAGTCCTTCAGTACTATAAACTGTAAATAGAGCAGTACCTTTCGTCATGTAGAAATAGAGCAAACTAGTAGAAATAGAGCAAACTATTCTTCCTGTACTTAAACTATTATATCATCCTATTATTATTTTAAAGAGATCCCACCTGCCTTTCATTCATGTTACGCCTATACATTATATACTCTTTGCAAAGATGGTTGAAGTTGATGTGGATCTTGTGTGAATACAGTATGTCTATTATTACGCTATTATATCTAATGTATACAGTTAATGAATGTATTCGTAGCCATTGGCACAGATGATTATGTATATCTCAAATTGCTGGAGATGCAGGAATTGATGGAGAGGTTGAATACTTCCACTGACCAGGCACTAATTCCGTTTGGCAATTCTCGCAATTACCTTAGGTCGGAAGCCTATCAGTGGCGAAAAGTGCTTCAGTACTTTGTTTCAATTTATGAACAAATCAACTTACATTTATGTGAAATTTTTATTGCGTCAGAATAAAAATTTCACATAAGCAGTGTTGTCTACAGTGTCAACACGACACTGTAGACACTATCCGCAAAATAAATTGTTTTAAAGTAAACATTATGGACAAAATACCTTCGATTACTAAATAAAACACATAAATATATGAATTCTAAAATGGGAATGCTTTATAATATGACATTTTAATTGACTTAATATGATATTTTAAGAACACATGAAGAGGTGCAAACAAAATACATGAACTGCACCTTTAAAAATATGTAAATAGAGGTATATGATAACGTAGAAAATATTAATGCTATTTTAAAAACAGCGAGACGGCTTTAGTATAATTTTAAAAGTCGCTTTTGTTAATACTGAAGTATTTTCAATTTTAAACACAATTAAAAATAAGCCAAACGCAATTACAAACAGAGATAAAAATTCATATCTTAAATCTCGAATTCTTAGCTTCGCATTTAATTTATTATCTTTACGAAGAAAATATTTAAATAAATCTAACATCATTTATTTAAATTAGAACGGGGAATGGCTTTACCTTTGATATTTAACTGTAAGTAAAGTAAAAGATATTTGCATTTTGACTGATTCTGATTCGGCATTCATTTATGATTTCTTCCAGAAAGTAATGCAAATGATCCGATCTTGCTTATTTATTTCTAAGAAAATATTTGAAAGCATCCTTTTTTGGAATTCCTTCACAAAGAAATGAATTATATGTTAGCTTTTATATTGAATTTTAGTTTTATTGAATACGATGTTCAATTTTGAGAAGCAGAAAAATCATTAAATTTATTTTATCTTTTGACGAGTACGGATATATACTTCTACATGAATTAATAAGAGCCTCAAATGTAAGCTAGAGTAGCTTACAAAGAAAGCATTATTCGTCGCTGAAAGATATGTTCTTGTTGCTTTATTTCGTGAATAAATTCTTGTCGTTGAATAAAACAGACATTTGCCTGTCTTTTGTAATGATGAGCCTTTTGTTTGAAATCAACGACATTTTGCAAAACATAAAGTTTAGATAAAGTATATACATCATAAACAGGTGTCTTATTAAAATTATTTCTGTTATATTTGAAAAAGTGATTTGCCTTTATTTCAGATATTTGCTTATGTTTATTCTGTTTTGCTATAAATGTTTGTATAATTATTTTGTATCTTTATAAATTTCTATATGTTTATTTTGCATTGCTATTTATTTTGATGCTTTTACTTTGCATTTACTTTTACTGTGAAATCGTGCAAATATTTATATACTTTTGTTTTATATTTACTTGCAAAATATTTACTTTTTTATTCTAATTTAAGAAACGGTGTGTATATTATTACCCAAAGATTCTTAGTTACGCTGGTTTGAGCTGAAAATGATGGAGGTGTAAATGGGCCGAACTCAGCGACAAATGTAGTGTGAGCTAATAAATATTTGAGGAAGTATGGCCAAATTTGAGAACTTTCTGAAGTACTTGAAGTTTTCTGATACTGCATCAGGCCCAGTGTATGCTTGAAGTTAAGGATTTCTTGCTAACGGTACGTATTTTATCAAGACATTTTCGTAAATTATGAAAGATACTATATTTCTGATATTATTCGTGTCATAAGTTTGGTTAGATATAGAACAGGCTATGTTTTACTTCTTTATCATTTTGACTTTTTTTACCTTTTTTTATTTTTTTCCCTAGCGTTGGGTAATGTTTATTCCCTATAAGCGGATTTGATTGTTTTAGCACTTTGGGCTAACTTCTATATCAGGGTTTCTTAAATTTTTTTCAATTGTTACCCCTGTTTATCACTGAGAACTTTTCGCGACCCCCAGGTGCCCATAATATTTACAAAAATTTTGTGGTACCCCATAAAAGTATTGCGCAAATCCGACACACGCGTGAGTGAAACTGTCAATTTTTTCGCTTGTACTGTAATATACTATTGCAGTTTTAAATCGCTAACTTTAATTTCTAATTTTAAGACATAGAAAAATGTGAAAATTTTAAATAAGTGACAGACGAAATGACAGCGTCACGTACAAAGCAAGGAAAATGAACGTTTATATTATAAAAGGAATGCGTCGAAACGTTTTCGTTTGTCTATTTGTCTATATTGTCTTATCTTTATCTATTTTCAGTTACATTGGGTAAAAATATTTGGTAATTGTAAATTATTATAATAAGTTGAAGAAATATCAAAACTGCTAAAATTTTTGGCGACCTCCTGCTGCAGGTCCCGTGACTCCCAAGGGGGTCACGACCCACAGTTTAAGAAAGCTCTGTATAAAGCTTCGTGATTTGCATCAGAATTAATTAATTTTTCTGCGTTTCTGATCGCATGTACCATATAGGTCAAAGAACATCATTACTGGTGACTCATTATGGAGTATTGACATGTTTATGATAGTACAAATGTCACGAAAGAAGAAACCATGCCAAATGCACCTTAAATAATTATATTACTACTATAACTACATATCTGCTATTGCAGCGCATAATTTTATTATAAATTAAGGCATAAAAGAGAATGTTCATGAGTATTTCGTAAAATAAATAGCTCCGTTAATACAATATAACAAAATTTAAAAAAAGGTTTTGATTAAATATTGTAATGCACACGAGAATACTTGTTTAAGGGAATAACTGCCTTCTTGATGAATTTCCCAAGATAAATTACCTCATATCTATGTAACACCTAAATTGAATCATGTAAATTCCATGCAGACATCCAGTACACCTGGGACGAAAGGAGGATAAATTAAATCTGAGCTGCTCCAAGCTCTTGGAGATTGAAAAATTCTTTATAGCAATATTAGATTGTAAATGTTGTTGAAGAGTTAATCCTATGGCCACTTTGTATTAAGAAGAAGAGTACCTAATCACTTTAAAACTTTTAACAATCTGTTAGACTGTAGACATAGAGTACATAGTTAAATACATAGACTGACACAGATCTGTTATATTATAGCCTGAAAGATTGTACATTTAGATAAAAAAGAAGACGGTTTAGAATGAATTTACGGATTTAGAGTCAAAAATACATAATCTGCGTGAGAAGAAACTTTATTGGATCTCGGAATAAAAATGGAATAATAATAAGATAGAAAAGCGTGCTGTACAATTGTTACGTTTGGGTTAGAACGTACCACAATCCGATAAGATGCTTTTCGAATATGGATCAATATTTACTGGATAGCATAGCACTACCATCTAGTCTGTTTGCTACGATCTTGTAAAGCTTGTTTAGTAGCATCCACATAGAAGGATCTAAAAGTTTCCTAACTGAATCGATCAGTTTTATCGTTAGAATTACAAAGTAGAAGAATATCAAGACTTTTTGAGAGCGCAAACTTCTGTTAGCGTGCGTGGAAATTATTGAAATACTTCTGAAGCTTATTCTTTCTAAAGTTCTTCATTCGTATCTGCGCTGCATTTTTCACTTCCTTCCTTAAAAAATCGACCATTCTGGTTCGACGTATCAGTTTAAAAAAATAGATGAAAATCAAAAGCAGCAAGGGCAGATAAGACCAGGGGATAGAAAAACAAGTCAGGTTTGACACGGCAGCTATATTTAAGGCTTCTGTTTATCGATTCACATACACATCGCATGATGCTGAGAATACACTATTCAGGAGAAAATTCAAAATGAGTAATAACTTAGAGGTGAAAGAAGAATCTTCGACGTTTTCTTATTTCCAAGAAGTTTCTTTATCAATAAAATGCTTGCTTTTGTTACAAGATCGCTTTGCTATAAGTTTCATTGAACAGTTTGTAACTAAAAGATTTTGTAAATGAAAGCAAAATTTATTGTTGGGCAGCTGCTCAGATAGGCACTTTTTCCTTAACCGCTAAACTCTCTTTTGTTGCTGAACATGTTCTACAGTGAAAGCTCTGATGGTACTGGAAAAAAACTATTTTTTAAACAACAAAATGATGTAGTAATCTAACTGACATTCATTGTAAATCTGTTGCACACGCTTCTTGCCATATGGATGGAATCTGGGAATTTTGCAACCTGCTTCTAGCAATAGATTTAGCAGTGTATGCATATCCATATGAAGCAATCGAAAAGGCATGGCACAGCAGTAAAACAAAATGCGTAAATAAACACATAAGTCTCTGAAAGTATAACTCTCAATTTCCATAGCGATATCTGAATAACAAGAAATTGTTTTTAAACCGAAGTTTGGTACTTTTGATCTTTAACTGCACAAAAAAAATTATTTATTGTTTCTCTTTGAAGCATTAAACTGTATTTTAAACTTTTATATAGAATGTACTTGAATTACAACTGAAATACATCGTAGAGGATTTAAATACATGACTTAGTACAACTTGCTCGAGAATTTATGACTTAGCACAACTTGCTGGAGTATTTATCTCGAAGCTCTAATATATGTCAGATATAAAACTGCATTGTTTAGATTATATTTTCGAGAATAACCTTACGAAATAGCGTACTTAAACACGTGTCATAAAATATTATTACTGGATGTGTCCTTGTTCAACAGCAAAACTGTTTTTGAATTCAAGTTTATGCATTCTATGTGATTAGCTTTAGAAACTCAAGAGCAAGGGAAATCTATAATTTAACACAAAGGATTTTGTGATTTAAATGCTAAGTTACAGTCTAATGCTTAAATCCTTGCTTTTCTTGCTTTAAATCAAAAGCAACTGAATTCAGAAGCGTTAATCTTCATACACATCAGAAGTGGAATTAATGTACTTTTAAAAGGAATATAAATAGAATAGAAAATATTTTTTAAATCATTTGTAAGAGATAATGGTGATTTGACTGAGTGTAATCAATACTACTGAGCATCTTACTTTCAATGTAATTTGAATTAACTTAATTTTCAACAAGAGACTATAAGAACTGGTATATTCATCCAATGTACTCTTAATCGATTCAGCAAATTCGAAGTTTTCTTGCTTCCAGGAAAGGCTATTTACGCAAAATACTAGCTCTAAGCTTACATATTCTCTACAACAAGAAATGTCTATTCTCCTTTGAAAATTTGCTCTAAGTTCCTAGTCTTCTACACTACAGTATAACTGCCTTGCCTGCAAATATTGATATTTTTACTCACAACAGGCAAATGAGCCTCCGGGTGCCCAGATTAAATGCTTTAAATCTATAGTGGGAACTATAGAAAAAATCCTGATTCCTTTATGGAATATTTACAACTGCATGGTTTATTTAAGCCATAAGGTAATATTTATGTTAATTGTTTTCATTACATTTGATTTCCTTCATCAGCTATTATCAGAATGCAAATTAGATTGAATTTAGTGAACGAGTTCGTAGTTTAGAGCGATAGAGCTGTAGCAGCTCGCAGGTAGCTAGAAGTTAGTTTTCAATTATTTTTCCAGTTATTAAGAATTTCAGTCCAGCTAAACGGGAATGTGTATGCTATGAATGTGTATGAATTCAAACATTTGAGTTACCAAAACCTCGTAAGTAACTGCAGCTGGTATTTAAGAATTCTTAATTGTACTACTAAGCGTGCTTTTAATAAACATTTTAGTTTAATTTTAATTCCTTGATTGTGCTCTTATATTTATAGTTCTAATAAGAGTGAAAATGCCAATTCGTCAAAACAAGGGAAAGTTAAACAGGCGTTTTTTAAGCTGTTAATTAAGATAATATTAGACTTAAGTTTCATTTGAAAAGTTATTTATATGATATATGTCGCTTCGTATTTACGTAATTAATGCAATTTATATATTTCTTGTTCAGTAATGGGAAATCAGTGCATAGATTGGGAGATGCGAATTAAAATGAACTAGTGTGACAAGAACCTACACCTATCCTTATCGCCTTAATTCGATTTAATTCCATAATCGAATAAAGAGGAAATAATCATAACACTTGGAATTTATATGTAGCAATTAGACATTATTGCGAATACATACGTCAATAGACTTCGTGCTACTGTATGTAGATTGTACTATTATAATTTCTGCTATTGGGGTTTATTTGGGGAACTGGTGTATATTTCTTTCCTATTTGATGTATTTAATAATTTGTGTGTTAAAATATGATTCGAAATCTTTATAAAATGATTAAAACTTTATGAGTATAAAATAAGACACGAAAAATTAAGAACTGGGTCAAATTATTAATAGAAGGTTTGATGAATCCTTAATAAAATTTGATCCTTAATAAAATGAAACGCTTTCAGTTTCAATGTAAACATTTATTGCTCGACATCGATTGTTTTCATTGCAGAAAATATTCTACGCGTGCTGCCACCATTACAATGAATATTCGAAAACGTGCTTGGAAAGTTTAATGGCGTGTTTGATATATAAAGTGAAAATTGTGGAATTTTCTCCTCCTTGATAAAAGACTTTTAGAAGTATTTTCATCAATAATGGCATTGTCTTCTGTGCGTGGCGTATTATATTGAGGGTGCAATCATTTTCAAAGCTTTAGCAAAGGTCAGTATTTCCTCAGTGTTTGACTGTTTGTATCCAGGAGATAATGCACGAAACTTAAGCACGCAACAGAATAATTTGTGATTAAAATTATCGTAAGCGAGA